GGGTGAAGATCACAGGACGAATCCGAGGGGACCCGAGCGGCATCATGTGGCCCTCAAGGGAGCGGCCACTTGTCGAGGGCCTCAAGCCTTTTTTTATCGTCTGAAGGGATCTATCTACGCGCTATTAAACGCGCTTGGCGTGTGAAACTGCTGCAGCAGGAAAAAGAACAACAATAGTTGAACACGAGACCGAGCGGAACGTGAAGGCTGAAGGCACTTTGCGATGGACGTATCCTGGAGGAAAGCCAGCGGGCCCTGAGTCCACTCCTCTTCCTCGGCTATTTATGAGGCGCTGCTGCAGTTGAATTCATTGTTTAACAGTTGTGCATCCTCAAGCGCGTAGAAAACCGGAGTAGAAGTGGTGGAACTTAAATATTTACTCTGCCGGACCACAGCAACACGCACTCAACTCCTGCTGCCGGTCGTGTGTCTGATGGAGGAAGAGGAGCACTTTGTCCCTGAGTTCGTGCCAATTTGCGTCCACCTTTGATCTGTGGATCAATCCCGCTGACTTCTTCCAACCGGCGCGCGGCGTAAAAAAAGACGGCCGGGTTGCAAATTTAGGGGTGGCCTCTTCTGGTCGTGCCAATCGCGCTCAAATATTAATGTGGCTATTATTTATTCATGTTAAAATGCTACACAAAGCAGGTTTCTGATCGGTCATTTGGGTTCACTTTCCCTAATGCTGCACTCAGACAAATATATCTATCTGTCCGTGGGTCCATTACTTATACGCTGGTGTTGTTCTCCCGCTCTGGGAGAGCTCTCCCGCTCTCCGTTTCTGGGTTTCTGGGCCCCAAATTCTCAGAGGTCCCTTTGTAAAGCACTTTCAGGATGCTGCGGTATTACAGGGGAGCCAACACGTACTGCAGAACCCAAACCTACAGATTGGACAATTGGACTACGGACGAAATGGACTAAATCCTGTCCATGGAGCGAGAGAATGAATGGGACAACATGCCGTCTCAGTTCCGCAAGAGACATTTCCAAGTGCGGGGGTTTGGGTAATCTGGGTATCATATCGCGCAGACAGCCAGACAGCGCGTGGGGGGAGCATCAGGGTCGTCTACTTCACGGCTGCCGCCAAAGTGCATCGATAATGTTACAGGATAATCAATGTTGTTTTGTGTACGCGAGTTTGTTCGGCTTTGGGAATCACTGGAGCTTTTCCGCAGTTTCCTTCACGTGCAATTCCCCCGCCGATGCATCTTTCAGGGAACTGATTACACTTTTGCATTGAAGGAAGGGGATCTTTTAAAAGTTGTTGTACTGCAGCTTGGTGCAAAAGTTGCTTCATAAGTGCTTCCTTTGGATAATGTTGAGAAGCTTTTAACGGCCTCAGGAGCTTCATATGCTTCAAATGTCAGCATTATTCATCAAAAACAAATATAAGATGCACACAAACAAAGACGAATCCGTCCTGTGATTACAGGTGGACAGAAAGAAGAACCTTCAACAAATGAGCGGATCACCTGCAGTACCTTCACGGGAGTAACGGACGCGAGGTGAACTACGAGCCAAGTCGGGAAATAATCCGGATTATCCAGTTTTTGTTAATGATGTCTCAAGAGTTTCGGCTAAAAGGGAGAGAGGGTGGGGGGGGGGATGACATGTCTGATGTCAGACTGCGCTGTCAGCACTCGGCAAGGGTGTGAGTGTGTGTATTGCGGGGGGGTCGACCAGTTACCACTCGCTCAGAACATTAAGGGCGTACCTGCACCTCTCAGCAATTCCAACCCTCCACCTTCGCCTCCGCGCTCCATTAACGCCGGGCGATCCGTCACCCCCCCCGCTGTGCTACGAGCAATACACCGTTAATGTTACTGCAACGACACCCTGAAACGAGCCTTTAATGGAGCTCGCACTCCTCGGCCGGTGCCGTTTGTGTAGAGGGAGGAGAATCAATATCACAGGAATGTATCAGCACAGGGGACTATTTCAAACTATTATAGTGATACAACTTAAGAAGATATCAAACTGAAAAAAGCGGAGGTATGAATCCTCATACGTGATGAGCTGAAACCAAAGTGTTAGGGTTTTTCTTTGGGAAATAATGATAATTAATAAATAACAAAAATGTCTGATATTTGAAATGATCTGCTGACGAATACAAAAAAATATCATCGTCAGTTATTGTCGCGTAAACAAACACAAGGGAGCCCTAAATGTGACTGAAAAGTGAAGCAGCCGGCAGTCGAGCAGTGAAACAATCCCAAGACGGAGGCTTAGCGAGAGCCTGTAAATCCTCCCGGTAAAGAGGTTAAACCTGCTGCACTCTGGACTGTGAGCGGCGTGGAGGCGCAGGTGTTCAATGATCAGCAGGAGGAGATACACAGCTTCACAACAATACGGATGTCCTTCAAAATAAAACACCATTCATACCTGAGGAGGAACCTATTTAAATAAAATATTGACGCACACAAACACCTCTAGTGTGCTTTAGTTTTTCTATCAACCATAAGGTTATTTGAGTATTAAATTCACTCATTTTACGTTACGATCTTGTGCTACAATCAGTCTGAAAAAAAACACTAAAAGACCAAATAGTCTATTGATTAAAAAAACTCAAGTGTTAGTTGTGATTTTTTCTGCGTCGTCCTGCTAGCCTCGAGGGAGGAAAGTCATCTTCTCCGTTTCATAATTTAACTTGTGCTTTAACGCCATGTCATCCTTTGTAATACAAAGCCGCCCTGCTGTGCCGCCCCAACGTCATCTGCCACTATCGGCCAGGCTGCTCGTGAATTATTGACCACCACACAGAGCCGTGGAGTTCTAGCGATCCGCTGCTCCTCCGCGTCACCGGGCTACTACTGCAGACCACCGGCCCGCCTGAGCACAGGTTCCCCCCCCTCCCCCGCTAGAGGCCTCCGGTCGACCGGCCGGCCGCCAACTCTCAAAAGCTTCTCCCGCCCCGTTAGAGAAGGCGGCCTGCTGGAGAACAAGCGGAGATACAGTAGGTGATAGCTGTAGAAAGGATTAGGTGTGTGTGTGTGTGTGTGTGTGTGTGTGTGAGGGTATAGTGAGCAGCAGTGACCCTTTAATCCACTGAGCGAGCGCAGGAAGTCAGACGGAGAGAGAGGGGGGGGGCACTTCCTGTCCAGAAACCCAGGTTCCTCAGCAGCAGAGAGGAATGCTGCCCGGGTGCATTTTTACATAATTGATTGAGATTAAGGTACAATTACAGTCGAACCGTCTAGATGTCAGCGGCTTTTACGCTTACAAACAGCTTTGAATGATGTTCAACAACCGCGAGGGAACCAGCAGCACCTCTCTTCTGCTGTGCCGTTTTTAAATATGTCAGTGTGGTGACTTTGTTTCCTCTTTCTACAGTAAGCCGAGCCGCATAGTTACTACGAAGCAGGCCGACGGATCTCCTGTTTAAGGGGAACAAAAATGTCCATTTGCTGTAATCTGCGTGGATACTTTCAAAATAAAAGGATGGGAAACTAGGAGGAATGTAAAAACAAAGTAGGGAGGAGACTCACGCTTTGCTTTGTCACATCTACGAATAAGTAAGCCACAAGTTGGAAAAAGCTAAACCCAGCATAAGAGCACCCTGCGCCGAGGCGAGCTCCGCTTGTCACTGTGATCACATCCAGCCCTCGTTGGGCCGGTGCAGCCTCAGCCGTCACAGAGATGGCTGTGGGGCTTACGCAACGTAATCAGGGGCCGGAGACAACCCGAGTGACCCCCCCTCCGCCGCCGCTATCAGGTGGTGCGACGAGGCCTCGGATAACCACGGGGAGGACCGTGTGTCGAGCGCTGTCACCATCACACGAAGGGAATTTAACACACCAAAACGTGCCTATTAGGAAGGAGAGGGGACTTCACCTTGATTCAGTAGATAGAATAGACATTCATTTGGGCAGTGAGACGTGTCCATCACAAGCCCCACTAATAATCTTTCAAGGTATTTTGCAAACTGCTGAAATGTTCTCGATTGTAAGGATTTTGATGCATTTCCGTGACTTAACCGCATATCTTTGCATTCTACTTTGTACTGATACAAGATAAAACGTGGACATGCTCGGAGCGGTGCCGTTTCAATCGGCTGCATGAGAGGAACTCTCCTCGCGGGCGATCGTTGCTTGACCTCACGTGAAACGAATCCACGCGAGGACGCTTTACAGCACAGCAAATGGACTCATTAGGACTCTCCGACGAGCTCCATTTACAGACGGGGTCCATCTCGCCGCTGCCTCTCAGTATTGACTGATATTTCATAAAGTGCTACTATTGACCAAAACATAAACTGCTCCTGAGCCTCGTCCCAAGCGTTCAGCGGGTCTCTCTTTGCATCCGGGGACTGTTTTTTCTTTGCAACAATTTAGAACGAAGCCACCGGTCTAAAGCGTGTTATCCAGATCAATTACAGCGGCAGAGCTCATCAGGGCGCCTCGCGCTGTCAATAAAAGATTTTATAATTCTAAAACAGATCTGCAGGTGCAAAAACAGAGTTTGTTTGTGTATTTGCTGATTGGTTGAGTTTATACTGTTTTATTGCATCTGTTTATTTGTGTCTGATGACAGATTTACAAACATTTACACACATGACAGATTTACAAACACCATTGATTGAAGATTCTTTCACATGACTTGTCATGTTGTTTCGGTGGGTGATAATTGCTGTCTGATCGCATCTCTGCGCATGTTCTGTCATGAAGAATATTTCGTTGCCACCGATAACAACTGGTGATCACGACTCCACCTTCTCTAGTTAAACACCGCTCTTAATGCTGTGTGTGTGTGTGTGTGTCTCCCACACACAATCGTTTCCCAACGAGATTATTTCCGCTCCCTTTTAGCGAGTGAAACTTAATCCGGACGAGTAACCTGTTTCGGAGGAATTCAAAGTCAATCGTGGTAAAACAAATGAAAAAAAATAAAATATTTAAAAAGCACTTCCTGATTATCCTCGTTAAGACCTCTGGTCTGCAGAGAAACAAGTGGTCCGGATAATGTAATCCGTGGACACGCAGGGCGAGGGAAAGGACACTCACGTATCTGGTGATGAGGGTCCGCAGGGTGCTGACACGCGTCCCCATCCTGTCCTCTCCTCCCGGGACGCGTCTTCTTCGCTCCGAAGGGGACTTCGCGCTACTTCTCGCTAACTTCTCTCTAAGCCTACTCCCTTGTCCATGGTTCTTTTCTTTTTTTCTTTTTTTTTAATCACTAATCTTCTTCCTGGATGAATAATACTTTTTTTAAAAAGGGCTTGGTCGGAGAAAAAGCTGGTGCCTCACCGGAGACTCTGAAGTCACCTCCGTGAGACCGCGGGAGGCTCCGGAGGACCCGGGGGGGAGAGGCGGCGTGTTTTCGGCACGGGCGAGCGGGCTCCTCCTCCTCCTCCTCCTCCCACGAGACGGGGAGGAAACTAGTTTGCTTCTCTTCCTCTAAGCCTTCAGACGTCTACTAATAACATTCCTCGGCCAAAGGAGCTTTTCTCTCATCTACGTCACCGGGAGCCAGGTAGTGCTGCTCGCTCTAGGTGAGCGCATGCGCACCCTGGTGGGGGTTTTGGTGATTGATTGGACGTTTCAGTTGACGGGTTTTCTGTTGTGTGTGTGTGTGCGCGTGCGTGCGTGTGTATGTGTGTTACCTGTGCTGTCCATCCAGACGGTGCTGAAATACTCAAATAAAAGGGAATATAAATGATTTTGTTCTGTATTGTGTTGTTCCCATTCAAACACTTTGTGACTACTTTGATTTGTTTTAATGATCAGAAAGACAAAAAAAAGTGTCTGAAAACATGAAGTGTAATTATTCAGTAGGCTACAGTAAGATTCGTTGAAATAGTTGTCTTCATTCCGTTTATATTTTCTATAAATGAAATCAAACAACCAATGCATTACTAAACCATTAGCAGTTTGTAAAGGTTTACGGTGACGTCAGAAGGGTCAGAACTATAAATCATGGTGCTTTGTTTCCGGGGGGGAATGTTTTTATTCATTAGTCCATCGTCGGCTTCCTGGAGACGCTTTTCGGCGGGTTCTGTTGGGACACCATCATAAAAGTTACTATAGCAACTGCTAGCGTATCCGGTTTCAACCTTCGACATAAAATCCCCAACAATCGTTGGTTACATACAGTACAAAGTAGTTTAAAATGCTTAAATTAACCGATCAATTCGTTGTTTTTTTATATTGCATTCATCTTAAATTGATGACATTTAAATTGGCATATTGACATTGTTGGAATACGTATACAGTACTAGTCAAGTTTGGACACACTCCTCATTGAATTGAATGAGGAAATGTGTTCAAACGTTTGACTGGTACTCTATTTTGCTGTATCATTGTCTCACATGCATGGTATGAATTAAGATAGACTTTTTCCAGTGTCCAAGTGTTTAATTTTACCCACCTTCATTCATCCTTTCACAGCAAACGTTTGCCCTGTGAGAATTCCCATGCTCTTACTTTGAAGGACTGGAGTCGCTCCCCGCCGTCATATTCCTCCTGCGTCCTGCTAGCTTCACTCGACTCGTCAAAATGGCGTCGTTCGTAGTGGAAGACTTGAGTTAGTTCAGGTTATTCACTGCCATTTATTCAGTTAGCGAGGAAGAAACGCAACATAAGCCGCGACAGTATGGCGACCTTGGATCAAAAATCACCCAATGTGCTTCTACAGAGCCTCTGCTGCAGAATCACGGGGAAAAGCGAAGGTACATCCGTTAACGTCAACGCTAGCGTGCTGCGCGCTAGTCCAGGAGATGTCATAGCGAACCTCGTTTAAAAAATGCGCAATTTGTCGTTGCTCTTCACAGTACTGATCGTCCACGTTTTACACACGATGTAAAGTCATCGGCCGAATCGTTATGGTCTACTGAGAAATTCGGCTCATCATTACTCTGCCAGGCATTTCATATTTTGACAATAATTAAACGTTTTACACTGCTCGAGCCCGACGAACCTTCTGTGCAATAGAGACGTAAAGTAGTAGAAAACGGTGGGAATTCTGCCCGAATGAAAGCTGCGAGGTGCTGCGGACGTACGCCGAATTGGAGAGAACATATTATTTATTTGTCGGCCACCTTGCAATCGAGCAAGCACACACTGCAATATAAGACCGATTATAAATCGATTTTGGTGTCACTTTAGCCGTGCTAGACAACGGCACGTAACGTTAGCGGGGCTAGGTCCCGCGTAGCTGTCACTCAATGGTCTCAGAGAGATAATAATAATAATATAATAATCCTCCTCGGAATTTTTATGGTACCAGCTGTCACTGCAACCCACCGAAGTGCTCGCTTGATTAAAGCACCTTTAAAGAGGCTTGCTAGCTCTCTTGGTGACCAACGCTGTTTGCACGGTTACTGGATGCATTTGCTCGCTGCAGGCCTCTGATGGACGCGGGCGGTAATCGGAGATGACAATCATCCTTGTTGTTGTTGTTTTTTAAAGCCTTAACTCCGTGATCAGCGACACCAAACGCTTTGGCGCTAGTCAATGTTGAGAGAAATGTTAGGTGTGCTGCACAAAATACAAATCAGGCTTAGTCGCACTAATGTTGTCCCATTATTCAGAATTCACCTTAAAGAAAAAGGCCACTATCAGGAGTATCCTGGGGTCTATTGATGCATTACGTTCTGCACGTACATCTTTTTTTGGAGGCCCAAAAAAAAGTGCTGTGGTTTGCGTTGACCTTTTGACCTTTTTAGTCATCACCTGTTTTCTTCTTCTCCAGCTGAAGTGGCCCACCAGTTCCAGTATGCAGTGCGAGTCATCGGCAGCAACTACGCCCCCTCTATTGAGCGGGATGAGTTCCTGGTGTCGGAGAAGATCAAGAAAGAACGTAAGTGCCTTTTTGGTCGCATACTGTCCGCCAATGACGACGCGTTCCAGCCAAAGCGTCCCTTCTGTTATTGACAGGTGTTTTTTTTTAAATAAATGTGCACTGTGCCTTTTTCCTGTTGGAGCTACTGCTCACAAAAAAGTCAAAATTCTTTAGTGCACCATAAAGGCCAATCCCAGCGGACTTTCACAGTGGCTTTAGTGGGAAAACATTGATCCAAGCTTTGACAAAGAAGATAAAGCAAATAGCACTGCACTTACGGAACAGAATATTAAGTTACCCCGAGTCTGCAGGTGGACTTATGGGACTTTTTTTAAGGTATGGAGTTGCTGTAAAAAAAAATGGACCAGGCTTTTAACATCTGTGAATTCAAGTTCCTCACCAATGCATTTCCTGCCTTTTTTTTGTTTTGTTCCTTACTCTGCATTTTACTTTTTAAGTTGTTTTTTTTGTTTCTTTTTTCTTTTTTTTTGCTCATTACTGCTCTTGATGCTGTTGCAGTGCTGAAGCAGAGAAGGGAAGCAGACGCCGCGTTGTTCTCAGAGCTGCACAGAAAACTTCAGACGCAGGTTGGTCCCTGTGTTTTCTTTTAAATACAAAACCGAACACCCTCCGAAGCGTATTGGTAAATCTACACATGAACTGAATCTAAATCTAGGATATTTAGCTTTTGATATTCTACCTCTTTCTGACGTTGCCTAGCTAACGCTATCTATTTTTCCCGGTTTGGCAGAGTGTCTTGAAGCATCGCTGGTCGGTTCTCTACCTGCTGCTCAGCCTTTCTGAAGACCCCCGCAAGCCCGCCGGCAGGGTGAGTCCCGCATTCCTCCTGAAGACAATAAATCAACGTGTCACAATAAAGCGCGTGGCCGACACTGATCGCACACCGGGTCCCCGTCCTCCTAAGGTGGGAAACTACGGAGCGCTCTTTGCCCAGGCCCTCCCTAGGGACGCCCACTCCACCCCCTTCTACTGCACCCGGCCACAGAGCCTGGCCCTGGGCTACGCGGAGAGGAGCGCCGGCCTGTCAGCCAGCATGGGGACCAGTGGCATCTCCAGTCTGGGGGTCTACACGCTCAACGGGCCCACGGCAACGCCGCAGTCTCTGCTGGCCAGGTGAGCACCCCACCCCCTCCCCCAGGAAGCGGGCCTCTGGTCCTCCAGGTTGTTTAAGCAGACTCTCTGGAGGGTGCAGAGTTATTTACCCGACGATTGTCCTGCAAAACCACTCAGCGAAAGATGTAGGAAGCATCAATTAGCACCAGGAAATAAACCTGCCTCTTAGTCCGACCTCTTGGAAATGTGTTTTACGGGGCATCAGAAGGCTGTTTCATTCCATTTAATCCCCTTTAATAATGCAGCAGTCCTCCAGTTACAAATCACCATTAAGCTCTGCGGGCCACCTTTTGAGTCACGAAAAGGACAAATCCTCTGTTCAACAAAAGACCTCCAAGCGCACGCTACGGCTTCTTTTGAATTTCCATGCGCGCACCAATTCAGAGCAAAATCCAGATGTTTGTGATTTTCAGATGCCACTTCAGCATGTTAGTCAGACCCTCAACAGTAAGTAAGTGTGTGTGTGTGTGTGTGTTCTTCAGTCAAGCCCCTCAGCCAGCAGCGGCGGTCGGCGTTCCTCTGGGCTCTCGGCTGGCCTGGGCTCTGCCTGTGAGCTGCTCCCCCTCGTCCGCTCTGCCCACCCGACTGCCCCTCGGACCCCCGGCCCCCTCCTCCAGAGCGAGCCGTCCTCGTCCAGACGGTGAGGGACACGTGGGAGACCCTGGATGACGTTTCATAGCCTTAACTCACACCGTGAGCCCAATTTTGTCCTTTCAAGCTGAGAGCATTACCTGTGTTCCTAATGTACGGTGCCTCGGTGCAGGGGAGGTGAGCGAGGCGGCGCTGGTGCGGGACATCCTCTACGTCTTCCAGGGCATCGATGGCAAGTTCATCAAGATGAGCGCCCAGGAGAACTGCTACAAAACAGACGGCAAGGTGAAGCTTTTAATAGTCATCACCCCGGGAAAAACGGAGCCCTTTTTTAAAAATATCTTTTCAATTTAAAAGATTATCTTTGTAACGTTAAAACTGTTCGGCATCTATTGGCTAGAGTTTGTTTCCGTGTTTGTCTCTACAAGTTTGAAGTGAGCCGAGTGGACAATGTGACAGCAAGACCGCTGTTGTTGATTGGACATTGAAATAGTTATTCGACAGATCAATGGGAAGCTTTTCGCCTCCGAGCCACATCGACCTCACTTTTCTGTGCCCAGTCAATTTTTTGATGACCCCACTTCTCTCTTTTCATCGTCCTCTCCAGAGCCATCAATGGGAAGGCCTTAGATACAAGCCGTCACACAGCCTCTCAGTGGGGCTAAACATAGACTTGTGGTCGATCGGCTGTCACCGTCCTGATGGACACGGAGCCACTGAGATATTTTGGCCACTTACCTTCCCCCTCGTAAAGCTCTCGGGATAAGAGGTTTTGAGATTTAATGTGTCGGGAAATGTGAACATTACTCAGCAGGAAAAACAAATCCGTTACTACGAGGCGGCCGCACATGTGATGGTATGAATCTGTCGGATGGGCGACAGTTGCTTTGAGTGCTGCTTTACTCTGAAAATATACACATTTTGATATAGGTTTGAAGTACTCAAAATATATGTATTATGCAGCTCTATTGCTGTGTAACAAATGCAGCAATTTGTTAGTGAAAAGGAAGGAGGAATATTCAGATCACAAGACAAAGCTGTGCTGCAATGCGCGCCGTGTCCCACCAGGTGGTGCTGTGCAAGTCCCTGAGGGACACCAGCAGCCGGCTGGCCGAGCTCGGCTGGCTCCACAACAAAGTCAGGAAGTACACCGACGTCCGCAGCCTGGACCGGGCCTTCGGACTGGTCGGACAGGTGAGTCCGCGTTCACCTGGTGAAGCCTTCTCCTTGCTCATCCCGCGCTGACGCCCATCTTTCTCCCCCCCATCCCCCCCACCTCCTCTCTCTCTGCTCCTCTCAGAGCTTCTGTGCCTCGCTCCACCAGGAGCTGAAGGAGTACTACCGGCTGCTGTCTGTCCTCCACTCGCAGGTACACAGATTGGGAGGTGTGCAGAATGAAGGAAAACGTCGGTGGATGATGTCACTGCTACGTTTGTGTGTGTGTGATTTTAGTTGCAGGTGGAGGACGAGCAGGGTGTGACTGTGTGCACAGAGAGCGGTCTGACTCTCAGAAGGCTCCTGGTCTGGATGTACGACCCCAAAGTCCGACTCAAGACGCTGGCCGCCCTCGTCGACTTTTGCCAAGGTGTGTGTGTGTGTGTGTTTTGTATTCAGTGTGTTTAATGCACTATTCGAGTATTAATTGGTGCGCTTTCAGGTCGGAAAGGGGGCGAGCTGGCCTCCGCCGTCCACTCTTACGGGAAAACGGGCGACCCGCAAATGAGAGCGCTGGTTCAGCACATCCTCAGCCTGGTGTCGCACCCCATCCTCAACTTCCTGTACAGGTGGATCTACGACGGAGAGCTAGAGGACACCTACCACGAGGTACGCGCCTGATCCTCTCAGCCCTGAATGGGGCGTCCTGAGCTCAACGTGAGAGAAAGGTCAGGCAGGGAACGCGGTGCTCGGTGTTCTGTTGCACCGCTCTGACGTTTGACCCCAGAGAGACGGACCATTACTGAGGGGGTGAGGGATAAAGGGGGATTGGAGCGGGGGGGGTCAGTGGGACAGCTTCTCCAATGAGGACTGATGAGAGGAGTGTAATGGGGAGCCGGTGATGGATGCTCCTGCTTTTCTTGCCGCTGCCGTGTTAAACACACACACAGTATTTATGTGTGTGGCATTAACTGTTAGTCATCACTGGACTCTGGTCTTAAGTGCAACGTTAAAGAAGACTGAGAAGTTATTACACTCTTTAGGCGAGAGTGAGTACACTGTAGATCATCGTCATAAACAAACACCTGTAATTACTGAGGAAATACGGGTACTGAGGAAATTAAGCTGCACCACGAGACCCAAAGTAAGCTGCATCTTATTTAACTCACAATTCCTGTTTTAACGGTTTCCCTGCCGTTACTTTAGTGAGTGTGTGTGTTTGTTGCTGTGACAGATCTACGTACTGCCGTTTTTTTTACTTCACTCTCGTCGAAGGTTTCAGAAGAATCCGTCCGGTGATCACACAATGAGTTTGTCGTCTTGTTTTTTTTGTAGTTCTTTGTAGCATCGGATCCCAACGTGAAGACTGATCGCCTTTGGCACGACAAGTACTCCCTCCGGAAGTCAATGATCCCCTCGTTCATCACCATGGACCAGGCCCGCAAGGTAAACACACACGCGTCTCTGTATTCCACGCATTAAGTACAAGACTGTTTACCTTCAGCAACATCTCCCCCTCTACCCGCCTCCCCCACCAGGTTCTTCTCATCGGTAAATCCATCAACTTCCTGCATCAGGTTTGTCACGACAGAACGCCGCCGGGCAAAATCACGCCGGCCTCCACCTCAGCGGACACGCCCAAAGACGGTGAGGGTCTTTTCTGTTTCTGGCTCCTTTGGAAATCGTCCGCCCTGGTATTGGCGGAGCTCTATTGACGCCGGGCGACCGGACGTGGATCGATGAGCTCTTACTGCCGGCCTCGTGCTCCTCCTTTCACCGCAGAGGGGAAGGGCCGTACTTAGCTGTGTTCTATTGATTGGCTCCGTCGGGCCGGTTTGATCTGCCTCTCTCGCTGCGTCCGCTCAAGGACATCGCGCATCTCCTCGTCCTCCACCCGCGGCGCCCTGACTGCAGTATTAATAAAACACATCATATTTCCAGTTACAAACTGGGACTTACGGTCCTCCTTATTATTATTATTATTTTTTGTCTCCTCACAGCTGCAGAGCTGCTCTCAGACCTGGAGGGGGCGTTCAGGAGAAGATCGACGCCGCCTACTTCGACACCAGCAAATACCTGCTGGACGTTCTCAACCGCAACTACCTGCTGCTTGAGCACCTGCAGGCCATGAGGAGATACCTGCTGCTGGGCCAGGGAGACTTCATCAGACACCTCATGGACCTGCTGAAGTTAGCAACACGCACACACACACACACACACACACACACGTCGACCATCTCGGCTGCTTTCGGACGTCTGAATCCGATCGCGTCACGTGTCCTCGTGTGTTTTGTGTCCCAGACCGGAGTTGGTGCGTCCTGCCACCACTCTGTACCAGCACAACCTGACGGGCATCCTGGAGACGGCGGTCAGAGCCACGAACGCCCAGTACGACAACGCGGAGATCCTCAAGAGGCTGGATGTGCGCCTGCTGGAGGTAACGAGTTTGTGTGTCTCTGACATCTGTTTTTGTTTTGTGTTATTCTTTTTTACATCCGTCGCTTTGTTGGATGCAGGTGTCCCCTGGTGATACAGGCTGGGATGTTTTCAGCCTGGACTACCACGTGGATGGACCCATTGCTACGGTAACACACACACTTCAACACAATTCCCAATACATTGTGTGGCTGCTGCTGTCGCATATCTATACCTGTGTGTGTATTTTGTTTTAGGTGTTCACGAGGGAGTGCATGGGCCACTACTTGCGCGTGTTCAATTTCCTGTGGAGGGCCAAGAGGATGGAGTACACCCTGACTGACATCTGGAAGGGACAGATGTGTAACGCCAAGCTGCTCAAAACGATGCCCGGTGGGTAAACAAACACAAGATGGTTGTTGGATGTCTTTTTTCATACCGGCTGTACTGTTATCTAGAACTGCGTGTGTGTCTTTAAAGGACGAGCTTGGGTTTTTCCTGCCTTATTGCTCTTTTGCCCTCCAGAGTTGTCCGGCGTGCTGCATCAGTGTCACATCCTGGCCTCCGAGATGGTCCACTTCATCCACCAAATGCAGTACTACATCACCTTTGAGGTCAGACCATTAACTCGGCTCGCAGGCTGTAAAACACAAGCAAAAAAAAAACGTGTGCAAATTCTGCCGCGTCTGTTAAACGCAACGCATGAAACTGACTTTCTGGATCAAGTGTACCCTTGAGGGTTTGAAAAGGCGACTGAAGAGGTCATTTCAGTAGGACTGTCCTTTTAAGGCAGACTGATGCTAGTTTAACAGCTGCTTTGTAAAATCAGTAAATAAAATGATTTCTCCGATAAAAGTAATTACCCGAATCATGAGAACTGTGTTGACTGGACGTGTTATTATTAAAAGGGCGTTCCTGTCGTTTGTGTAGGTGCTGGAGTGCTCCTGGGACGAGTTGTGGAACCGAGTGCAGCAGGCTCAGGACCTCGACCACATCATCGCCGCCCACGACATGTTCCTGGACAGCGTCATCTCAAGATGCCTGCTGGACAACAACAGCAGGGTAACACACACACACACACACACACACACACTCACAGGATCATCTCACTCCTGAAAGTCCTTCTCGGCCTTCAGCTCGCTCACTCCCTTGACCTCAGTTTCTGTCCATCCCTTCAGTCTCTTTTGAACCAGCTGAGGGCCATATTTGACCAGATCATCGAGTTTCAGAGCGCCCAGGACTCCCTCTACCGCTCGGCTCTGGAAGAGCTCGCCCTCCGCCTGCAGTTCGAAGAGAGGAAGCAGCAACGGGAGGAGGAGGTGGGAGGAGCCTGAGCGTGCACGCAGAAAAGGAAAAGCGCGAGGAGAGTTTCAAAGTGACACATGTCCCGTCTGTGGATTCAGGGGCAGTGGGGAGTGACTGCGGAACAGGAAGCGGAGGAGAAGAGGAGGATCCAGGAGTTCCAGGACACCATACCAAAGATGCGCTCGCAGCTCCGCATCCTCACCCACTTCTACCAGGTATTAGCCCGAAGCACCAGCTGTTCCCAATTGGAGCCAATTGGCTTTTCTCCTTTTCACACCCCCCCCCCTCTCTCTTCCCGCAGAGCATCGTCCAGCAGTTCCTGGTGCTGCTGATGACCAGCACGGACGAGAGTCTGCGCTTCCTCAGCTTCAGGCTGGACTTCAACGAGCACTACAGGTTCACCTCCACAACGCAAACAAATATATAATGCCCAAAAATTACGTCAATTTGCCTTAAAATGGTCCATTTCCGACATCCTCAGGGCCAGAGAGCCGAGGCTGCGAGCCTCACTCGGCACCAACCGAGGGCGGCGGCCGTCAAACATCTGACGAGGCCTCCCGTCATCGGAGCGGGGATGAGGACATCGCAGAGACGGGCCGGCTCGCAGACTTAAAGCGCCTGGCGTCGAGGTGATGTCATGCCTTGGAGGAGCGGCCCGGCGCTGTTACGCACGTTCTGGTGTCGCGGTGGCCAAGTGATGACATCACAGCGGTCTGATCCCGAATCGCAAAGTCCAATACAGTCCGGAAAATACGACTTTCGGAGCTCGTCGTGACACTGCAGAGACGGCGGCGTGAACGGACTGCTGGGGATTCTGGGAAACGAGGTCAATTTTGGAGGGGAGGGGGGAGTGTGAGGAAGTGAAGCTCCCCAAGTTGCACAGGGCCGCCGTACAAGGAACGCCTTATTAATGTCTCACCGTGTTCGCCAAACACACAATGTATGTACATGGAGTTTATGCAAAAATGTGTCTCTACACGTCTCCTTCTCTAGGGTTCGACCGATATGGATATTTTTGGACAATTTTTGTATTTGTAGCCTTTGTTGAAATGATTTGAACTTTCAGTACAGTTGTTCCTGCTGCTCTGTGAAAACACACCGAGACCGCGAGCGGTGTGGAACACTTCCGCTCAGTATCGGCACACCAGCATATCGGTCCGACCCTAGACCTCCACTCATGCCTGAAGTCCAGTTTTTGTTTTTGTCCAATCACAATCACAGAGGATTTTGTATCGCAGCAACCACAAACACCTCAATGTTCTCATTACATCTACAATAGGAACTCCGTACGTGCTCTGGTTCCTTTTTTAAAATATGTAAATATCCTCAAATGAAAGTCCATAAGAAGTTAATGGTTACACATTTCAACTCAGGCAATTTATTTTATGAAAATAAGTATATCCTGACATTGTAAAGAGGAAAGTCAGTGTTGTTGGCTGTGTTCATATATATTGGATAAGCTTCCCAAACTCATTGTTTTTTAAAAATGATTAATTCGACATATTTGTCTTTTGCTTTTTGCTGTTGCATTGAAAAGTCAAGTAGCATTTCAATCACCTAGTTATATAATCATATAAACAGCTGTGAGCGCTGGTCCTGGGTCAGCGAGGACAAAAAAGATTGAGCTCAATGTCGTACAACAGATGAGAAGAAGGATCCAGACCAGAACCTGAGGCGCAACCCTGAACTGAACCTGGGTCAGCACCCGTGCCGCGTGTGTCCTCTTCATTGTATAGCACATAATGTAAAGAACAAAGGGAAACAAATCATCCCGTTCCTCCTTAATAAAAGGTTTTCTATTCATGTATGTTCTGGTGTGGCTGACTTTCTTTTACCACCTACTGCCGCCTGCAGGCGACGGTTGATCAATTATGAGTTACATTAGAGTAATATAATCTGCACTATTGGTCTTACTCTCATCGAAGCTGCAAATCTTAAAACACTTCTCTCAATTGATTATTAAATGAGTCAGTTTAAGCAGTATTTCCTACATTTAGTATTGGACCGTTTACACTTACTGGTGCGTCAGAGCTTTCACTTGCACCGTCTCACAGTATTCTACAGAAACTGCTGGATCAGTTGTGACCAAAAACCAGAGTGGAAGCCGCTCGAGTCGACGGATTGTGTACTCAGGTGCATTTTACGCCGTGTTCTCTGGACTGACCTGTGCAGGCGGTGAGCCACCAGAGGGAGTAACAGCCTCTCTTTTGTAGCCTCGGTCCTCCTCCTCCTCCTCCTCCACCTCAGACCTTCTGTGTCTCTCGCAGACGCATTTACTCAGCAGGGAGGAGGAGGTGTGAGAGTCCAATCTCACACACACACACACACATGCAGCATGCGCATGGCCTCTACTCCCAGAAGAAAGGTGTTCCATCTGAAAAGAATAAAACCATTTGTCCATCTCCTCAGGACGATACAGAAAAAGCCTCTCGCCTCTGTGGATAACGCTGTGAGAAAATGGTCAATTCAGAAAGCTGGAGAGCGGAGAGGCTGAGACTGCTACTGGGATCTCCATCTGCTCCACTGTTTCTATATGTGGCGTCCCTCCCGGAGACGCTTTCTGATCACTTAAGACACTTTCCTCCAGTATTCCGAACACGCCTCATGATTTTTTTCGCTTGAGCAACACCTGCCCGACAAACTGACCTTGCGTCAGCGCTTTCCGCCCCTTTTCTTCTCATTTCTACTCTCTGAACACAAACCTTCGACTGTCATTATTCAGCCAAAAATGTCCAACCCAGTCTGAATATCTTTTATGTCACGACACTGGCAATACCCAAGATGACCTCTGACCTCTGCCTGTGTCTCCGTGCAGCAAACCCTCACCAACACCTTACATCCAGCTGCCGCTCACAGCCACATCTGCACCTTTCAACAGCCCCGGGGCTCAAGGTCACTCTGGCTAACATCCAGGTCATATAAACAAACAGTAAGTCTAAAGTTTATCTCTTAGGCTGGTTTTAGATGAGTATAGTTGACCTTCACCTTTCTTCATTTCTTATTCGTCTTTTAATTCACAGGTGTATGAGGTCAAAATAGAGAACATAGTTATTGGAAGATGTGTTGTCTAAACGTTGAGCTTCTGTTGGTTTTCGTTGGGAAAATGTAGTTGAGAATTGTTCAGATTTGGGAAATCTCAACTGCTAATTCTTGTTATATTCAAGGAATGCGCTAACTCGCTTTCTGAGAGAGAATCAAACCAGAAGCTCGACACTCTCAGCCTGAGCCAGGATACGGTTAGCTTAGCATAAAGACTTAGCATAAAGAGGCAAACAGCTGGCCAGCAACAGCGCCGCTAAAGCGCACCAACTAACATGTTAAATGTAGTTTCATTCCACTAATAAGACGTGTTTCACATCAGAGATGTTCACAAAGAAACACCAGAGTTACAATTTGAGACAAAACGGGGCCATGAGGACAACACATGTCCCGTTTCCACGGCAGCAGGCTGCATCCATTCCTGTTTGACCCCGCTGATACAAACGAGACAAACTGTCATATCCCATCATGCATTAGCCTTGCTACAAACACAAATGCCGGCTGAAGAATAGTCCGCCGGCCCTTCTGTCCTCTCACCGGTCCCCATTATATTCTCTGTGAATGCCATTAAAGAGACGCCTCGTTCATTTCCACGCGCCCGACTCCGGCCCGCATCCTCTCTTGTGCCACCTTCTCACGCGGTTTTAAGGCGAGAGACAAAGAAGGAGGAGAGAAGAAAAAGAAAAAACACTCACACGGCCGCGTCCGTGTTGTCGAGCCGGGAAATGACAGGTGACATTTACTGGCATTTGTGGCAGCAGGTGTATTTGAGAGAACTCGTGTTCCCCCTTTTCCTCCCTCTTGTCTCCGTGTTGAGTGCCAGCTGCACTCGTAGCTTCTGCAGAAACCACGAGCTAATGCCCCAACTTTCTGCTCCTTGGGAGAGAAATCAGGCTTTGTTATGCGGGACCTCCACCTCCTTTGTTCACAGTTGGCTCTAACAAGAGTGGTGAGGACAGACGTGGATGCTTTAATTGGACATTTGCATGCATGGGGTTTTTAATGAGGCTAATGAGAAACAGAAGATTGCTGCTACGACTTACAGTTCTGCCCAGATCCCCTCGTCCAAAACGCAAGCTTTCACCTTTTCAAGTGTTTTCCCCCGGTTCCACTTTCAAATACTAAATCACACACTTTGGGGCGGTGGTCATGAACCGACTTGAAACCTGTTACTGAACGTGTGATCGGTCATTGATCACGAAAAGGTAGAAAGGTAAAAGATGTACAGAGCAAACATGGAAACAGAACTGAGCGTCAGGCCATGAACATTTTAAAAACCCTGCTCCGGCTCGGCCGGATACTCCTCCGCACGTCCACATCTTGACAGCTGTGCTGCTGTTCCCCTGTTTTGACATTTCAAAGCAAGTCTCACGGCTTTCTCTCGGTCTCTCTCGGACGAGGCAGAGAAGACCTTTTTTTCACACCACAACACCTGGAGGTTCTCCGGGAGGCTGCGGATTAACCAGCTGCTGCAGTGACCACGTGAAATGCCCCACTGTGTGAGGTGGCACTGGGATGATAGTAGGCCTTTTTTTTAGGGTCCTGTTGGGATCAATGCAGCTCCTGCAGCAGATGTTGGGTCAGCGTCCGGCCCGTTCTCGAGGGGAGTTCTTCTTGGAGTTGGCAAAGGCATCTTGGCTGATTTTTCGGAGGTCTATCACCACGCGGCGGTCATTCTACTTTTATCCACAACCTAAATACTTACTTATGAAGGGCATTATAAATCGCTTAGAATCATTCCAGTCCCAACGTACATTTCCGGCAGCTAATTAAGGAGCAGCAGAAGATTTCTTCCTCTTTGGATAATTACTACCTGCGATTAGCAGGAGCTCCGTGTGACATTTTCACCGCCATTGCCCCCAGAGGTCCCCTCTTCCTGCCCGTGGTTTATCAACGCCGTGCATGCGCTCCTATGGGAACGACGCAGTTTGGCTGTTTAAATATTCCACAGCTCTCCAGGCAGAAGGATGAATCATCTCTAATTTTTTACACATCCAGCCATGATAACGGCTGGGCTTCTGTTCCAAGAGTGCATCAGGAAGTGTTGACCGGAGGTCACCGAAACCCCCGTCGCGTTCACGCCGTTCTGTTAAAGTGGACGTTGGGACATCTCGCCCCGCCGGAGGAACAGCTGACCGCCACGAAGCCGGTGTGATTTCACTTATTGGGTGTGACATTACACAACCCGCTGGCTGTGGCCGCCATGAAGATATTTATTCAGCTTATATTTATTCTGACGGTCAAAAGCGGTTGACGGGCACTTCAGAGGACGGGCAGAGAATAGTTTATGAACTCACTTGTATTCAGACGCATACGCACAAGAGTCCCGCCGTCAGTCATGAGGCCTGATGGGACGAGCTGTCCGCAGGCCGCAAAATGCCACCGGCTCCTTTATTGACGGACAGCAGAGACGGGGAGACAGACAGAGGGACGTGGAAGGCGGCGGGCGTGTGGGTGTGTTTGTGTTGTTAAATGTTTGATGAAAGTGCTTCATCGTTTTTAGGCAGCAGAAAACGAGACAGAGGGCCGCCCTCTATTCCGGTGTTGTCTAGGAACAGATAACATTAGGAAAAATGTTTACATGCACCAGCTTGCAAGTCACATTGTGACAAAAAAAATCAAAGCACCTGCTGAAGTGCTAGTTAGTTAGCATGCTAACGCCCTAAACTAGGATGGGCAACATTGCTAAACAAAAGCCTGGCACTTCACGGATAAGACAAAACTATTAAAAATCCCCTAAATAAACACAGATGTAATTTAGTTGAGCCCGTTATCGACCATAAAGCAATGACGACCTGGGGGGGGGGGGGGGTACAGCAGACATTTTGTGCATTCAGGTGACATCTGTATGCACCAAATGCACAAGGACAGGCCAGTGGATTTCCTCTCCAGTGGCTCCATTTGTTAACAGTAATGATGCTAATGTCTCATAATTAACGAGGCTGTGATTTATGGGCCTGAGATGCCACACGTGGCTCCGCCGCGTCGGCCGTGGTGGACTTGGTAAATATCCTGTAGAGAAAATGTGATAAATGTACCTGCTGATTCACTGCCCCCCACCTGGTAAGTGGCGCGCGGCTCCTGATCTCGACAACGGCTTCGAAAAAGTGTCAACCGGAGCACGTTAACAAAGTTTTATTTGGATTTCTTCACCCTGTGATTTAGCGAAACTGCCTCCACAGCTGCCGGGGCACACCTGGACAATTACCCACTGAGTGGCTGCAGCACCCACGGGTGAAATTGCTGCAAGGCCGGACATGCCTCACGCTATGATCGGCAGACAAAACCGGCAGCTCGTAATGCTTAATAGATGTTTTTCTAAAAGCTACTAAAAGCTTCGCTGTGTGAATAAATATGCTCGAAAGGAAGACAAAACAGCTTTTATTCTGGCGGGTAAAGCTGTTTTCTTCTAGATGCGCATTTGTAAGTAAATTGAATTTCGACCCTCCGTTTGACACTCACACACTCTCGCACACACAAACAAACACACATCAAATCCAATGTTCTGGTCCAATGCCTGCGGCCAAGGTCACCAAACCTGTACACAGCGTGTTGCCTAAAAGCAAGAAAAACACTTTATTTTGTCTTGCTCTTTGTGCTGCAGCTGGGCATTGATCTCTCTGTTTGGCTGCCCCCCCCCCCCTTCCTTTCTACCTGCTTCAGTCCATTTGTCTCTTTCCGTGCCCGCAAAGAGGAAGACAGAAATAAAGCGACCTATTCTCAGAAATTTCCAAAGGGAGTGCTCTTTTTCTCTCTCTCTCTCTGTGGAGCTGTGACTTCAAAGCTGCTTCTTTTGACCCAAGTCAGGCTAATTCTTTGCCATTAGTTCTATTCCTACTAAAATATGAACTTTCTTACCGGTAACCACTTTGCACACACTGGAGCAAAGAGCTCACCTCCTCACAAGCGGACTACTTCATTGCTGTATGGACCAAATGCACATGTTCCAGATGTTATCAAGCAGACATGAAGCACAGACTTCTTTACAAAGCTCGGCTCTCTCACTAGAATATGTTCCAGCCTCTTATTAGTTGGTTATGAGCATATGAGGCAGCTTATTAACAGAAGATTTGAATATCACAAGTCATAAATGGGTATGAGTGTGTGTGTCATATGAGAGCCAGCCGGGGAAATCATATTCATATGAGATGTAATATAATTCTGATATTAAACCTGCCGAGGTGCCCTTCAAAGTCCTGCAATAATCCAGTCCTCACTCTCTCCGCTCGCCCATCTGCCAGATAACAGATCACTTACACATATCCAAACTCAAAGGCGCTGCACATTCACAGTTTGGGGGTTTGAACGGACATTTCCTCATTTTCACTTTTTACACCCGTTTACACCTGTGCAATGAAGCAGGTTGTCCCTTCTTTAAAGACAGAATTAACTTCCATGACATGGTTTGTTTGAGACACGAGAACATCCCTGAATACTCAGGGTTTAACGCTGATCCACTAACACTTGTTAAATGTCAACTCAGGGGTAGTAAAGCCCAGAGTTAAACCTGCGATAACACACACATATAATCCCCAAAATGTCTTCCCAGTGTCCAACGGTGTGGGGGGCGGGGGGGGGGTGGGCGACCCCACTCTGCCCCGTCGACCCGAACACGACGCTGCTCCACAGAGACAATAAGTGACGCAGCGGTTTGAAATGGACGTGAATACTGTGAGAACCTCCCTGTGACTCATGGCTTTGTCTGTGTGTGTCTGTGTGTGTGTGCGTGCGCACTAAGCAGCAGCATGGCCGGGCTGCGTGGTGAAGCTTAAATCTCTGGGATCGGATGTGTAAATACAACCCGTGTGGTGACATGCAGCATTTTTTTGCACTCTAATATTCCCTGGAATCACGTTTCATTATGCAAAGTGTGGATGCGTGTTCATGTAAAATGTGCAACAAGAGACAAAGCAAGAATATCTGTCTCTGTTCAACCAACGTCTTAGTCCACTGCTCCTCATTTGCATGACAGTTGATAACAATATTGCCAAAGCGGCGAGACAAAGCCTGTCCCCGTCTTTGATTTGGTCCTCTTTTCTCCCCTTCAGTGCCGCCGAGATAATCAAGTACTTCACTGTCGTGCGAAAGAGCGTCAGACACGCGGCTGTCAAAGCTCTTGTCTGGAATAAAACAGGCCGGATCGCGAGACATAGGCAATAGGTCCAAAAAGATTATAAAGCAAGCAAGATGACTGCCAAACATAATCAAAGCATTTCCATGGCAACCACGGTGAAAAGGAACCAATTCAACATCAAAAAACAGATTTAGAATTTTGCAATTTTCCCCTAAATAGAACAAATGGATTTTGGGTGCACGCACGCACACGTCGAAGCATTTCCAACCTCTCCCCTCAGCTGAGATGCTTTCTTGGTTGCCGTGGCAGCCAACGAGGAGCTCTGGTGCCAGGCAGAAATGGGCTCTGATTGGTTAATCAGTATTCAGACTGCGTGTGTTTGCTTGGCTGATCTCCCCCCCTCTCTCTCTCTCTCTCCCTCTCTCTCCCTCTCTCTCAGAGAGTGTGTCCATCAATTGTCACTTATCAGTCGGGAGATAAATGGTTCCGTTCTCTCCTTCTCCTTAAACCTTTTATTCCCTTAGCTGTTGTTGTGACAAAGAGGAGGAGAAGGAGTAGGTGGGCAGGTGGGTGGGCAGGCTAATGAGGAACAATGAAGGAGGTGTGAGGGGAGAGGGTGTTAAAAGGCAGTAAGCAAGGGAAGAGATGAAGGAGAAGAGTGTGACGACTCTGACCGACCTCTGACCTTCATCTGTACTGTTTAGACACTATGATCTCATTCTGCTTTTACTACAGCTACGTTCTATCAGCATGGCTTCTTTACATAAGTTAAATAATGCTAATGAGACACAGAAGCAGTTATTACTAAAGAGTGTGTGTGTGTGGGGGGGGGGATCTTAACCCCTTGTGATGTAACAGCCGTCTGGTTGCCATGGGGACAAAATGAAACCTCCTTACGTAAGGCCGTAGTTCGTTGAAAACCTCACGCTGTTTCATTTTCCTGCTACAGCTTCAGTTAGAGGATCACCGGTCACATGACGCCTCATCGCACCGGATGGCCGATAACAACACGCGGGTCGCTCACGCGGGGTTTCTGGTTGTTTGTTCCACAGTTGGTGGGAGAGAAAAAGGTTTTCACAGGGCAGCGGCGGGGAGGGACACAGCGGCGTGAAGTGGGCCGTGAGGACTACCAGGAAAACCTTCTATGACGCAAGCCTGTGTGTGCACGTGGGTGTGAGGAGGAGCATGCATGTGGCGCGCCTGTTGTCTTTGATGATAATGAGGCAGACGGACACAGGCGCTCAAGTGAGCTCTCGACGCCACCTCAAACACTTCGGCTCGGCCACACTATTTGTGTGTGTGTGTGTGTGTGTGTGTTTGTTGCAGATAAGACCAAACACCCAAATGCAATGCTGTTTTAATGAAATTAATCAAAAGGACGGGAAATCATAACACTTTGATAACTGTGATAACAAAATCTCATTTTGCTTTTCTGGCTTCACTCGGCTGCTTTTCAATGAGAGATTTCTGTTCAGCCATTTTGCCTTCTGCATTGTGGATGTTTTAGTCCAGCCGGTGGCCGACCTGCTCTAATTTAACGAGTCAAGGCCACCTCGGTGGAGTCAAACACGGCCGTGCAAAGGAGCATGTCTATAGTCTTCCTTCAATTTAGTGTTTTTGTGTCATTTTTGCGGTTATTGGGGAGTCAACAGTGAAACGTGGAGTCGTGGAATCCCCGTAGAAAAAGTGATACCTTTTGTTTAAAGTAGACAGAAGGACACAGATCTCAATGGTGTCGAGACCATTGACTTCTACAGCGAACCATTACGTTGGAGAGGATGCTTGTTTATATGATAGATGTTTCCACAGAGATAGATGGCAAAGTGGTACAGCATACATATTGTATCACACACACGCAGGGACTCCAGATGAGCAGCTGAGCCCTCTGCTCACATTGCAAGAAGTGAATTTACCCTGCAGGCAACAAAAGACGTGACAGCGGAGCAGATTGTGAAACAAAATACTAAAAATGACAAAGGGCGACAGGAGAGAGACCTATCGAGGTAAAACAATTGGGCGTGATGCAGTAAATCAAATGGGAACAAAGTCCACGTCTAAATCTCAATGCTTTACAGTAACAAGTGATAAAAAAAAACTATTTGATCGGACATAATTCAAGTTGCAGTTCTTTATGACCCACACCGTGCTAATTAAACACCACGTTGCCCTTCAGAGTACACCTCGTTTACGTTGCATTTACACATGCAGATTGTAAAGACGTCCACATAATTACAGCAGCTGTTGTTTCATCTCACTCCTCATTTGAAGGAGGCCAGGCGGCGGTTTGTGTGTGTGTGTGTTTCTTCCCGCCCGTCAACCTGTCTGAGTGTGTCTGCCGAGCTGTCTCCACGTCTCCGTCTCCATACCAGTCTGCCCGATGGCGGAGCCGTTCAACGGGGCTTCCATCACACTGTGTTATAGTCTCTGAGGCGGATTATGAGCTCGGTAAAGCGGCTTAAGTTTTCTGTGGTTTACTCCAGTTGAAAAAAAAGAGAGCCTAAAAAAAAAGTGTACTACTTGTGCTTAAAGCTGCTGCGAGGATCTTTATTTTCTGTTGTTTGTTTTGGCATTTAAAAAGCAGCAAGGGCTGATTGCCCTCAGTCCAGGTTCTGGTGCCCCCCTCCCCCTTCCATTCCCCCCCCTCTACTTCAGCCAGAAGTCCGATTGCGGGGCGAAGCGCTTTCATAACGATTCAAAATTTCCTCGCAGTGTATTTAAAAAAAAACGTTTCTTTTACAGACAATGGAACTCGTCAGGGTTTCAACGGAAGAAACGAACAGTTATAACCCAACTATACAGATGAAACTTAAATGCAGTGATGTAAATGTAAGTCAATCAGTCCAGTCCCACTTCCTTTCTATAAATCCTTTATTCAATATGTTTTCCTGTGTTTATACAATGGATTGGACACAAACTGTACAGTGCAGACAAACGGTTTGCATAATATGTATGTAAAGTAACTGTACACTTACTGACGCACAGAGTATTCTCCTTTAAGGTCGGCACCAGTGACACTTTGCTTTTGGCCCATCGCTGGCACGGTTTGCAGCAGAAAGACACGGCAGGTTCATCTGATGTTTAATCCTCGCTGAGCGAGTCACTACATGTGTGCACTAGCTTCCATTGCCCATGTGACTCCATATCAAGCATATAACTCATTGAGTCACACATTCTCAAATCAATTAAAGGAACACATTTACTTTTACTTTAATGCAAATGATCGTTGTCATTTCCATGTTTTTACGTACGTCTATAAAGCATAAACGTCTTGAGTACGCCGACCCTCTTGTGTGCTTGTAGGTTCAAAGACGTTGTATTGAGTTAGTATCATGGTCCTCTCGGCTGCTCATCACCCTCTATGAGTACCGAGAATAACTTTCCCAAGCTCAATCCATCATTGTCTAAAGAAGCAACAAAGGATATCAAACAATTACTTACTCCTGTTTTTTTTGTGTTATAATTTTCCTGCTCTCAGACAGAATTAAATATTGATGCTCTGCTGAAAATCTCCCACGCAAGACATGCATTAGTGTAACTGTGTTAGTGATATGAAGTCATTTTGATTAATTCTTCCTTTGCTTCATTATGGCAATGATGGATTATGCTTCAAACGCCGTATGTCCCCGTGAGTTGCATGTGATGCCACAGGGAAGCCAACGTTTGCCATTTGAATGTTTCAATGACCCAAATATCAACCGGTGCAAACCGACGGCAGGAATGAGCCAGGCGCAAAGCTCTACTGTTGCTACGCTGAAAATGTTGTTTATGATAACATATTTCCTAAATTACCACATGCAGTAGCCCCAGTCATCTTTTCTCTTTTGAAAGAAAAGAAACATGCAACAGGTGGGAAACAGTCCGAACAGAGAGAGAGAGAGAGAGAGAGAGAGAGAGAGAGAGAGAGAGAGAGAGGAGGTGGGAACGAGGTGACTGGCTGCATGATTACATAGTGAGAGTGAAAGCTAGCGCAGTTACAGTGAACAGAAGATTGGGGATCAAAGGATAATTGAAACGTAAAAAAAAGGATAAAGAGTGTGTGTGTGTGTGCGTGTGTGTGTGCGTGGGATGAGAGTGTTCGGAAAAGAAATAAGACCTGGGGAGAGAGTGCGTTTACCGCATCGCTTTAGACTCAGATGTAATAAGGCAGTCTTTTGTCAGAGGAATAAAGTGGAATTTTTAAAAAAAAAGAAGAAGAAAAGAAATGGCAAAGAAAACCTGAGCGAGAGCGGCGAAATAACAGCGCTTTGCTAACCATTACACACTTTCCAGCGCCTCTAAAGTGCACTGCAGTCGTCCGGGTCGCGAGGGGCCTTTTTGCGCTCGCCGCGACCATTTTCGCAGCCTGCGGGCGACAAAGTAAGACGGCTACACGTGTACCTGCCGCGGGAACACGAGTGGCGCCGGCATGTGGAAATGAAAAGTGACCCGGGTTTGTCGCCGCTGCTCCCGTCCTAATTAAATCAGCTGCTCTCTTGCTGCGCACAGCCCGTCGTTAGATAATGGCGATTGTAGTTTCGGTGCCTGGCAAACCACCAGCGGAGAGAAATCTCTCCCGGGACACGCGGACAGTAATTGCGCCATGGTCGTTTGATCCGGGAGCTGTGATTTTAAGCTCTGAAACACTATTGTGGCCGAGAGACTTTGGTCGTCAGCCAGGAAATCAAGTCTTTTCTTTTTTCTTTTCCCTATCTGGCTTCAGCCGTCATTATTTCTTGAGTGTTTGCCACAGATCCTCGGTGGCTGCTTTTCGCAGCGTGCCAACCCCACTTCTAGCCTAACGAGCCGGGCCGCGCTGAACAGAGGGAGAGGTTTTCCCTCCGTTTCGGCGCTGGAGACAAATTAGCTGCTCGACAGTCGCTCAGCGAAGAGCCGCGTGTCTCCTCGCGTTGCCTCAGACGAGCACAGAAAACACTGTACGCTACGTGTAATTAAAGTGACTTCTTAGACACAGGCGGCCGGGACAACACAGGGTACATTGTAAAACAATAAAAGACGCTTTACAGACCTGATTATCGGGGTTTCTTTTTTCTTTTTTTTACCGTTATGCTAGCAACCCCGAGTGTTGACACGACAATATTATGTTACATCCACATTTCTTTGACGTGAGACAAGCACAACACCTCACCACCATCACCCCACTATGGTCTTCAAGTAAAATTAGACAGGACGGAGCTGAAGTCGAGCCTCCGACAGAGCTTGATGTTGGCTCGACCTCATGCTGGGACCCGGGACGGCTGAGCATTTAGCGGAAACCTGCAGCCGCCCCGGATTCTGCATCTGGAGCTCGGCTGGGGGGCCGAGAGGCCCTCACACGGCGACAATCTACAGCGGTATCCAGCCCCAAACAAAAGAAACACTTTCTGATGACAGCAGCAATACATTTTTACGTACACGTACAGGGTTTTTCTTTTTTTACACAGAAACTCGCTAAACTCACATATACCATTGGATACCGTCATGTTTGAGCACGACGAGATGCTAACGAGCTCAAGGGAGGGAGACGCGGGCAATTAGAAACACAGCGAGCTGTCTCGTACCTTCAAAGTCTCTTCCGTGGCGGCGTGCGGACCGGTCCTTGCTGTGGGAGATCCACGGGACGGCGTTCCAATGACGGCGTTCCGGTGGTGCGACATAAATGCACGCTGTCGGAATTGCCCCCCGATTCTAAGCGAGAGGGCCTAGGCTCCCTACCGACGCTCATCGTGAGGCTCCACAGTACTCGCGTCTCCTCGGCAACGGGACGGACTACAGGGGACGCTTTCTGTGCTCGCCGTCTAATAAGAAAGACTCAATAAACAGAAGGCCCGGCTGTTGAACAGGATTCGGGTCCAGAACAGATTGGTGCCGTGTTGACTGTCACAGTGAGAGGGCGAAGCGTGGGAATATATTTGGTTTTCAGTCGTCGTGTGCTATTGGTTTTTTACCACATTTCGAACACTTTTTTTAGTGACCGCCGCCTGCTTTTTTAGGCCACTGTGAAGGCAAATTTAATCACGTACTCGCTGTTTTTACTCTGCAATAAATACGCATGTGATCAGATCGGATCTGCGCCCACTGGTGGAAAGTAAGAACATGTCGCGTACTGACTTACGAACTGTGCTACAATTATACGGTACTTGTACTTTACTTCACGCTACTTTATACTACATTTCTGAGAGTCATGTTGACATGAATGTTAAATACTCCACCTCAACTACAGTTATACGTAACTTTGCAGATTGAAAGGCTTTTCAGTCGTCCATCTTGGTAATCCTGGACGGACTTACCCTGTTCACTACCTTTAACTTCAAGCACTTGGGAAAGCAACAGAAAGAAAAAGTACTGCTTCTGCACAGCTGCTACTCGGTGTAAACACAGTCTGCTACCCTGCTGCTCCTATGCACTCCGAGTCGCTACAAACTTCAGCTGCACACTCATCGGGGCGCCTTGACGCCGGCGCTCTCCCCCCCTCGCCGCGTCATACCATCGCCTCTCTCTCTCTCTCTCTCTCTCTCTCTCGTGTCAGCGGCGTGGAAATCGTAGCGATCTAAGTAACGGCGGGTGACGCAGGTCGGCGGTCACTTGTGCGTGTGCAGGGTGTCAAAGCAAAACGAAGGGACAAACGTGCTTCATTGAGCCAGGTGATGTCAAATAGACAAACTGTATAGTTCGTGATGCAAATTAGGGACAGGCAATACCACGTGTTTGCAATGCATGTAACGCACAGGGCCAATTTCAGGTATATTTTGCTGTTAGCTGAGCACAGAATGTCCTGTGCTTAATTGATCGATGAGTAAGCAGCCGCTGAATCATCGGTGTTTGGTATTTAAAGCGTTCTCTTTGCCTGATGTTTGTTTTTTAATCTATTCATTATTTACTCAGAGATCGAATCCAACTGGTCGATTTTGGGTGGGAGCTGTGAGTGTGAGTGTGTGTGTGTGTGTGTGTGTGTGTGTGTGTGTGTGTGTGTGTGTGTGTGTGTGTGTGTGTGTAGCCACCAGCGAGCGAGCACACCTTGCAACAGAAAACGGTACTATCAGGAGAGGAAAGAAAGGGCCCAGATTCTTACAGATTGTCACAGGAAAACACCAGCGAGGACGACGTAGCTCTTTTTTTCTCCCCGTCTTTTTTGTTTGTATCTGTAAAGAGTCGTTTTGTTCCTTGGGGTCGTGCCCCTGTCCCAGTTCCAAAGTATCTACCGGGCATCGGCCCAACTTCGGCGACTTCGTCCGCCGCTTCCCCCCCCCCGCCACCGACCGCGGCTGTCCTGTCCTTCCGGCTCGCCCCCACCACACCAGATCCGTCCAATAGGGAGCCAGGTGGGCGGGACCTGCGGCCCCACTGCTGAGCAGTCAGAAGTTGAGCTGCTGTTTGTTTGGTTACCTTGTTGTTGCAGTTTAGTTCTTTTGACCACGCAGCAGTAGGGCGGGGCTCTGGCTTTTCCCGGCCTCTGGTTGGCTAGGGAAGGGTAAATAGGGCGTAGGGAGGAGGGAGCAAGGTTATGTCGCCTCCTTGTCGGGTTTGTTGACCGGTTTGCCGCCATTCATGACCACAGGTTCGCTGGTTGTGCTTTTGGAAGGCGGGCCCCCGGCGAGTTTAGGCACCGCCTCCCCTACGTCGTGCAACGAAGGCTCTCGGTACATCGCAACTGGAAGATGGGGGCGGGAGAAAAGAGGCAGAGAGGGGGAGGACAGGGGGAGGAGAGGTGAAGGGGATACAGCGGTGGTGAGAAAAGACAAAAAGAAGAGGGACATAAGGAATTGGGGCGAAAGTGTGAGAATAGTGTGAGAATAGGGGGGAGGAGAAGGGAAAGTGAGGAAAGCATAAATGGAGGAAAGAAACAAAGAATCTGAGGACTCGTCTGAAATTTCACTTAACAGACACAAAAGAAAACCCGAGTTGGTGTGTGTGTGTGTGTGTGTGTGTGTAAATGTGTTGTTACCTTCAATGGGTTTAGGCAGGAAGTGTGCAGCTGGTTTGGTCTTTTTGACCCTGTTGCCCTTCATGGCTTGTCCCTCTTTATTGAGGCCCAGAAACCAGGCCCGGCCCGACTCCTTCTGTCTGTAGAGCATCGAGCTGTAGATCACGTAGTAGTTCTCAAACACAGACTCCTTGAACTTGCACTCTGCTGTAAACAGTTCCTGAAGACACAGAAACAGAGGGAGACACAATCCACATTATGTGAATAAACATCATCATATCGGCCTGCCCATACGTCAAAAAACAATGAAACCATATTGACCGGCCACAGACGGGGAGGAGCAGCCGAACACTGACTGAATGACACACCGTTCTCCCCAGACTCTCTCTCTCTCTCGCTGTGTGCACATGAACAACAAACAAAAGCTTTTTTTTTTAAAAGAAGAGAGAATTGGTTCTGGTGACACAAAAAGAAGAAAAATCTCGCCCCGGCTCCCACATAAGCTCTGATGTCATGTGTCAGAACTCTGCTCCATTGTCGACGTCAAAGGTATTATTCTTACCCGGGGAGACAAATCCAGTCCCCCCCGCCACCCCCCACTTGTCCTCCTGCACTAAGTCACAGCGAGAGTCAATGGCAGCCTGAGATGAAACACATTGCTTCTGGAATCGGGCATTAAAAAAATCTAAAAGACTGCAAACAGATGTTTGCTCATACAGTGTGGACACAGCAGGAGATCAGTCTAAGATAGAAAAGGTCCCTGCTCGGGATGCAGATAATGATTATCAACTAACCTGTGGCTTGTTTTGATTCAAAAACAAATTATTTTGTCCATCAAATAGTGACTCTCAGAACACAGTGACCTATTTTGTACATACATTAATCCTGAAGAATGTATTAACTCAATCAATTTATTATATATATATTCTCAATATGTTATAAATATAATTGATGACCAAACATCATTCAAATAAAAAAAATATTCAAAGCCACTTGGGGGAAGTGGAACAAGTTGAAAACAAAAAGCAAATAGACTATTTGCACATCAATCTGACTTTGATTTACATTTTCTGTCAAAGTGACTAAAGGTCAAAATTTAAGCCCAGTAAACCGTTTTTCTCAATTCTTCTTCACCAGCTAGTGTTTAACTGTCTGCGTCTGACATTTGGTACTTGGCATTCAGGCGCGTTGTCCTTTCACATGATGCAAAATCATTCACCCATTTTAACATAAAAGATAGCTTTAACTGTCGCAGCATTTTCAATTTATTATTATTATTATTATTTGTTATCTTCCAATCTTTATCGACATTTAGCATAAAATCATTCAATGAATCATATTTCATCAAGACCATCGCTGAGGATATAAATAGCGTTAGTAAATTACGCCTCATATGGCTGAAGAGGCTCCTGCCAAACCCAAACAACCGCCCCGGAGGCCCCGGGCCCCCCGGAGTGGGAAGTGTTGGTCTAGACCGTCTCTCTCGCCAGAGCCACAGACACATTGTCATTCAGCTCAGGTCTGTCGGTCCGAGTCTCATAGCAACATGAGGAAGAGAGGCGACACTGTAGCCGTGGCAACCAACCAGCGCTGAGAGGGAGGGGTCAGTTGTGTGTGTGTTGGGGGGGGAGCAAGAACGATGGGGCGAAATACACACAGACACTTGCATTGCAAATTCAACATATGACGTGCGACATGTCGAGCTCCGCCGCGTCAACGCGCGCTAACAGAGAGAGACGCGTATTAAAAGGGGGAGGGCCGGGGGGCACCAACAGGCACCCTGAGAGGCGATCAGGCGCCGGGACACACACACACACACACTTGTGGCTCCAGGGGATGAATGGAGGAAGGTGCGGGGAGAAGGGGAAGGGAGGTGGGGGGGGGGGGGGGGTTAAATGATTGGCTGGCGACAAAACAATACGCGGTTATAATGAATGAAAGCTCTGCTCGCCGCCAATGTCAGCGGCACACGGACACAAATCAAAACGCTCGCCTTCGGTAACCATGGTTTTAATTTGCAATAACGAGGAGCTTAATATTTTTCATTAACTTAAATATATATAGTTAGTCTTGACCTGCACCCGTGATTCATTATTCATCTGTTGAGGAGGACGATCCTTGCTGGCGTGCAGAGAGCCGTGCCAGACACTTATTAATGTTGGGCCACTGGAGTCATCCATCATTTAATGCTGCTTTTAGAATAAAAAGATGTTTGATGCCGAGGCGTCTCTCGCCCTCGTCTGAAGCACTCTACGCCCGTCTGGATCCAGGGAGAAAAAGAGAGCTCACGCAGCCTCACGGGTGACTCGTTTGAAGCCATGCTTCGACGGGCCGCCGCCAGGCCGTCTAAACGAGCCGCCCGCAGAAAGTAGACAGGGACTAAGAATGAATGAGAGAAAATGGAGGGCGGGGAGGGGAAGGGGGAGAGGAGGTGGGGGGGATTGGAACAGGAAGTGGAGGATAAATCAGTGAGTGAGGAGGACGCCGCCATCTGATTTTAAGACACAGCAGGCGGGTTCTCTCCCTTCTTCTTATCTAAGCGCTTCTCTTCTCCCGCCCCCCCCCCGCACACTGTCATTTCTCCGTGCTCTGCAGAGACTCGGCGGAAGTGAAAACACGGCACACAGTGGCCCATTTGAATGGCGTAGACGCGTGCTGCCCCCCGCAGAAGCACATTCGTTCTCCATCCCGGCACGTTGTAGTTGACTAAAAGCTTTGATCCCGTCGGGCATTCGCGGGAGGGGGGGTTGCGTCCCGCGGGAAGAAGAAGAAGCTGACAGTCGAGGCCCGTGACCTCGCCGACCTCCGGTGCGAAGTGGCGCCTCCTCGGTGTGAGACACACCCTTCACCCTTTAGGTAACGACCAGCTGTGTTCAAAGTCAACTGCGCCGACATTAGAGCGGATCGGTGACTTTTTAGTACGCCGGATTGGATTATTTCTGCGATGTTCCCGCCGGTTGTGCAGACAGCTCATCGCGGGAGTGCTTCGATACCGGAGAAACATGACAAAAGGGCCGCCTTGTTCCGAGGGCTTTTCCAAGCAGATTTATTCATGTATTCGCAACGGACATCAGAGATAAGGGTATCTATAATAAAGAACGTCAACACACTAATGGGTATATAATTAAGGGATGTACCCGTCTGGAGTTGAATTCGATGCCGCGGGAGTGTGGTGCCACCTCTGGTGATCTGCACCGTCCTTCAGCCGAGGAAGAACAAACTGGCCTCCAGAAAACTACCCGTTGAGCTGAGGGAACTATTTCAGTCATGTTAAATGTTAGTAAATCAATACATACATTAAATCAAATGTTTATTTGATTTAATGCAGGGGAAGTAGACATTGACCAGGGTTCTAGTTCCATCATGTGGTTTAGGTTGTCACTCTTTTGTTTAGTTATTATAAATCAGAAAAACATGTATTGGAATTACTAATAATTAATTGTGTGAAGTTTATAAAGGTCAATGATGATTGTTAAGAAGACTATATATATATATATTACACATCAAAATGCAGCAACTTGCATTCCAAATCACTGATAAACAATGTATTGACTGAAATCAATTTCTTTCAACTGCTTTTTTAAAAGGATATATAGTTGGAATCATTAACTCTGACTAAAGTATCTGAAACTATAACAAAGTGTGATCATATCTACACAAGTTAATTAATGGCAGTAATGAATTATCACCAAACCTGGACTACTTACTTTATCTTTAACCTCCATAGAAATGTGTTTAATTAAAGAAATAACACTGCAGCTTCATTATTCATAAATCTGAGTAGGCATTGTTCCAATTTGCGCTTGCTCTACTTGTAGCGTTCCTTAATTCAACTAAGCTCAAGGAAGTGGTTTTTCATCCCAATCGCTCTTTCTCATATATATATTCACACAAATATATAAATATATGTGTCTGTTTCTGTGTGCTGCTCAGCGACTGAGTGCGTTTGTTTCCAACACCAGTTATTATCACAGCACTAATTACCCAGGAGAATTGTGGGTAAACAAATTATTCTAAGGAAAAGAAAACCCACAGAGAAGAAGGAAGAGGGGAAGGAAAAGTGTCGGCACATGAAACCAGAAGCGACGCGGGCACTTAGGGGCCGCGTGGGAGCATCAATCTGACTCCAATCACGCCGGCGTTCCCGGTGTTCCTCAGCCTCTACGCACCTGCACACCTGATCCAAATGCACTTACGAAAAACGATTCGGCTCTCTTCAGGACGGGCTCGGACGTCTCGCGAATGCGGCCTTTCATTATTTAAACTACGTCACGCGTGGAGCTGACACCGAGTCGGGGTTCTGTAGCTTTTTGTATGGCCGAGTTTTTTTTTTTCCTCCACCAGTTCTGGACCTTCAGAAATAGGACTTTCAATTATCTCCGTTAATGAGTCTTTGAAGCACATCAACAGATTATTTTGGGAGTAAGGATGTTATTAGCCTACAGTCCAGGTCGACTGCTTAAGCATCGGGTTTAACGGCAATTGGGTCTGTTATGAATTTGTGGTCCACGTCAGGTTCGGAGTCTGTTAGTTCTTTGTCCATGAATTCATGCACGTCTCTTCTACGGGTTCGTGTCCAATCCGGTCGGAGATTTTGGGAAAGAATTGAAATTAAACTCTAAAGAAGCCTTCATCAGGTCTTCAATAAAGGTGAATATGTCTTTGAATGTGTGGTTCTTCAATTTGTTCGGATTTTTTATCTCTCTTTATCTCTCTAGTGCGATGTCTCGGTCACATGATTCACAGCGTGGAGTGTGTGTGTGTGCGTGTGTGTGTCACCAATCACATGGCAATAACATGTATTCTCTCTTCCACTCGTCGTCCTGCTCATCTCTCCGGATGTTGATATTACAGGACTCACTTGGCCTGAGTGCTGTGTGAACAGAAAGCACACGCCTACGCACACGCACAAGCACGCACACGCGCACTTGCATGTGTTGAAAACATCCTGATGAGAAAAAATATGCTGCAGCTCAGGAGGAAAGAAAATAGGGGTAGACAAGGTGAAACGGAAAATGGAAGGACGAGTGCACGAGGTCTCCTCGTCTAGTTTGTTGTATGAATGGATTCATGCTAATTCTAAATGATTTTTTAAAGATATGTCAAATATTCTCTGGTTTCATGCTTTCAGTTTGATTTTTGTTACGTGATAGTGAACTGAATATGTTTTGGTTTTGGACTGTGTATTTATTTATTTATCTCTCATGGTGAAAAGGCAGAGATTTAATATGCGGCCATATTGTTTGGTAAAAAGTATTCTTCACGTTATTCATCCGTTCGACTCGACCTCTCCACAGCAACACGTCTCGGTTTGCTCTCAAAGTGAGGGGGTCATTCATATTATTTTTATGGCCATTGAATTCATGCCGCAAAATGTCAGACACATGCCTAACCTTCTGATATCCCTCAAAGGGACTCGATTTTGTGGAGGATGATTCTGCCTCCCGTACAATTTAAATGGTGCACATGTCAGGTGTCATGTCTGAAGCTGGTGTACCACAGCGGTACGGAAGCAGGATTCTATGTTCCTAAATCCTTTGCGTCATAATTTTTGCTTTTCATCCTACGCACGGAGAAGCAGCAGAAGATGGAGGAGACGATAATAACAAAAGGTAGGCGGAGCGGTGATGGAGGTGCGCGGCAAAAAAAACGTGTCAAAGTCAATTTCCTCTTTCACCACTCAGCTGACATCTTGAAATCTACACCTAACACTCTCTCTCTCACACACACACACACACACACACACACACACACACACTTGCACCCACTCTTGTCCCTACAAGTCTCACTTACAAACACACACACACAATCGCAAACTCATCGGCACTTTTTTCTTCCCACTTTCCCCAGCATGCACCATAATTATCACATAGCAGCTCATTGCACACTGTGCCATCTGTTAGTCACACGCACCTCAACACACACGCATGCACACACACACACACACGCACTAATGCACGCCGCCAGATGCTCGGGACCTTGGATTAATAAGACAGTCCTACCATGTATAACTAAGTTTGCAACATATCATTAACAATTTGCAACAAGAGGATAACGAATCTCGTCGGGAGCCCGGCGTCGTTAATTTAGGAGCAAGCCGAGAGAAAAGACTTCACTGGGAGACGTCCCAAAAAGAACCCGTTCTGACCGGGGAAGGAAACTGATGTCTTCTATGACACCTCTACGTTGCACTGCGTCCCTTTCCCAGTGTGGTTGAAATCACGCGGAGGTGTGTGTTTGTACCGGGAACATTGAGTTATTTGTTTGTTCATCTAAAGTTTTTCCAAAGAAAAGAGTCAGCAATACTAATACTGTAATATCTCTGTCGAAAAACTCATATTTGATTTGTATCGACTGCCCGACACCGACGCAATAACTAACATGGCGTTTTAATGAATACCTGCGCTGCCGCTGTCCTCGTCGCTCACTGCCCCTGCAGCGACCTTTGCGGTAGCCAATGAAACATTGGGCAGCGGTGACATCACGAGGAACTGGACCTTCTGCGTGTGCTTTGTGTGTTTTTTTTTGTTTTTTTTTGTAGCTGCCTTTGTAGCTGGAGAGGGATCACACAACCCTGACTTTGCAGACAACGCTTGAGGAGGGGATTTCTGTGTGTGTGTGTGTGTGTGTGTGTGTGTTGGGGGGGGGGGGGGGACTCCCCCTCTTCAATTATTTACAGGAAGCCCTCATGCATCTGACTTTCAGCGACAGGCTGAGAAAACCCAGCAGAGCAGCACAGATCTCTTGTGTCTCTCCTCTCGTCCCTTTGCCGTCACCATCTTAGCGTCTTCCTCTCCCTCGTCTTCGCCCCCCCCCCCCCCCCCCCCCCCCCCCTCGCCTCCCCCTGACGCCGCCACTCCTTTTCTTTCGTGATTGGTCCGGGCATCGCCTTTATTCCTCTCACACCTCTTTCATTTCCCCCCTTTCATCTCCTCGCCCTCTCCTTCCATCTCTACTCCCCCTGTCCCCTCTCGCCATCACCTCCCCTTTCCTCCAGTCACCTCCTTTCCTCTGCGCTCCGGCTCCCGTCATCTCCACCCCAAAAAAAGAAATAAAGGGGAGAAAAGAGGGAGGATGTCAGGGAGACCAGACGCCGGGGAAGGAGTGCGAGCTCTCCCTGAAGAGCCAGCATGGAAATAATTCATATTCCACTCAAGCAGATCTCTGAGCAGCCGGCCGCTCCTCCGCTACCTCCCCTCGCTCCTCACCACCTCCCTAGTCCCTCTCTCCCATGGTGTCTTCCATATTGTTGCGTATGTCCCTTTCTAATGCCAAAGATGTCACAAAATGTTTACTAATTATGCTGGTGATGGAGTGGTTTCCCTTTTCCTACTATAGTAAAAAAGCAAAAAGCGTGCTTACTTAAAGCATACTTTTCCATAATCTGACCCATCAAAAGCAAATCATCGCTGTTCTTTGTCTCATGCACCGGCATCCTATTTTCTTTTGGACAAAAAGAAAGGGGGTTTTGTCTTTTGACGTGAAAAAAAGCTTTTATTGTATCATGCATGCTTCGACTCTCCCTCAAGTCGAAGCTTAAATCGAAGTGACATTACGTGCGATTCGGAGCAGGATTGATGTGTAACTGCTACTTGAGGGAAGAAATCCACTTTGCCCCATTTTGCTCAGCGTGCCGTCCTGCAGACGGACACAGTGGATGTGAGGGGCTGTGCACCGGCTAACTGAGGGGAGTTGAACTGAAAGCCACCCGTGCTTCTTTTGAGCAGCACGATGGGATGAGCATTTCATGTTAACCGGGCCAATGGTCCATTTATATCAGCACAAAAGCGCTTTAAAGAATAATTCAGAGTTGCGAAATGTTGCAAGAAAGTTACCCTACAATGGTTTTTGTCATTTGTTTTAAAAAAGTGGATATCTGTATATTGGATATAATCTACTCTAATTCACTTTGGGCTGATGGAAGTTGTGATTATTCACTATCGTGACAAAAAGAGAAATCTAATGAAAAGAGAAAAAGATTATTGAAATTTTCTTTCTCTCGCTTTTAAACGCTAACGCCAACAGACGCAGCTTCCTGAGTCACTGTAAACCCTATTGGTCCTTACTCCATGTAGATAAGGTAAATTCGTATAAAAATGACCAGAGATTTGTCACAACAGGCTGATACTTCCATTTGTCTCCAGCAAATAATTACCACAGCTTAAGACCAAACACTCGGGACCTGGATGAGCAACACGCGGTTGGCAATTAAGCCCCGACGTTTTTACAGCAAGAAGCATTAAGTCCTCAGCAGAAGAGAAATTAAGAAAGAAACAAAAATGATGCTGGGCCCAGACAGACGTGTACAAGTACTGAAACGAAATGTCTTGTGGACTTTCTCCATCTGGGATTTCTCACCCGCGTGAGTCCGTGCTGGTATGCTGCGTGTGTGTGTGTGTGTGTGTGTGTGTGTGTGTGTGTGTGTGTGTGTGTGTGTGTGTGTGTGTGTGTGTGTGTGTGTGTGTGTGCGTCCTCACCGATGAGTAGAGGTGACCCTCTCCGTTCATGGCGATGTAGAGGCCGGTCTTGACTGATTGGATGGCCACGACTCTCAGACCCACGGGAATTAAGTTAAACAGAGCTGAGGGCAGAAACAGACAAACTGAAGTTTGGGTGCGTGCTTCCCTTTCCTCGAAAACGCGGCGCCTCCCGAGAGCCGAGAGATGTCAGCTGGTCTGCTGCTCAGTCAGTTCACGGCGAGGTGAAGAAGTGAAGAAGCAGCTCGGCCTTCGGAGGAGGGTGGGGGGGGCTACCAGCAGGGCTTTTAAAGTCAGAGCATTGCAGAACATTGAGCAAACATTCAGACCGCCGCTTTAAATAAAACATGCTCTGCTCTAAGACCCCAGGGATAATTTGTCTCCGTAGCTCGAGGATTTACAATTAAAGTATTCTGCGTCTTAAATTAAGAGGTAGATCATTACCCCAGGACGTTATTACATTTTAGTCTCATTTTGGTCGAGTCGTGTGGAAGATGTGTGCCGTGTTTTACTGTAATGCATCAATAATAACGTCATATAACGTGACCCTTGATTTTGTTTGGCGACATTGACTTGACTTCCTCATCCTTTGGGGTCCGACAGACTGCCTGTGCAAAAATACAAGTAGTCATATTCAAGTTCGTTCTTCTGCTGACCTCATCACAACTCAACATGCAGAAAACATTGAATTATTCCTGCATACGGTTTTTTTAAATATTTTGAAAGAAATGATCTTTTCCCCCCTAAGATTTAAACACCAGCCTATTCTTGTTCATGATGTTCAGGACCACAGAGGTGCTCTCGGCGTCATTTTGAAGAACATCAGTGGATTGCTGAACAGCTGATCACAGCCCCGGGCGGCTTCTCCAAAGGACACCGCCGGTGACACCGCTGTTTTTGTGCACTTCCTGTAAACCCGGAGGGTCCCGTTTCCTTTTAAATGTGTTCTAATTCAGAGATATTAACCCTCTGTTCCTTTCTGGTGTCTCGAGGCTGTGACTGGCAGCTTTTCAGGGACAGAAATGGTTTACTTTGAAGTTGAAATAGAATGTAAAACAGTGTTTTACGGAGATCTTTCGCAATAATTCTTGATGCTTGAGTTACTTGTTGACGATTAGTTGTGGCGTTTTGAGGTTGTTGAAACTCTTTGACAACCCTTTCACCCATATGCTTCTTAACATCAAAGAGTCAATGCAAAAATATAGCATGAAATTAATATATTTTTTAAATGTGTTTTAAAAATGTTTCCATGTGGTTGCAGCTTTTTTTTAATGCTGCAGTGTAATTCACTTTTTGAAATACCTTCCTCTTTTCTACCTCCACTTGGACACAATGGAGATGAAGGGGATCTGATCTGTACCATTTCAAACGTTTGCACAGTTCATCCGCACTGTGTTCTTCTTCTAAAACCACCTTGAGTTATACTTGATCATCCACTGTTAACAATTCTTATTTAGAATAACTATTTTATTTTATTTTATAATATTTGCTTATACAACTAACCTGTTGAAGATCAGGGAGTCTCAACACACTCGTCTCTTAATAATTGTCTATAGCTTCAGTGTAACACTTTGAAGGCTGTTGGCCTCTCTGATAGGACGATGCAATGAAAGAAGTGGGATCAGGGTTTTGGGGATCAGTTGAATCAACGGTTACTGCTTGTTTCACTCACCAGCTAGCAAACTCAAGTGGTTGACTTAAAAAAAAGACCAAATGCTGGTTCTCTGTAATCAAAGGCTGATTACACCTGGGACGTCATTAATCAAGGTTACGTAGAAATGATCCCGAACAACCGACGTCAACAGTTTTCTGAGGTGAGTGGCACACCTGCAAGTGATCATCCTGCATGAATATCAGTCTTTCTAACCCCCCCCCCCAGACTTATTAACATAAAGATATGCAGCCAGCTGATTGGAAATGCAAACAACCCCCCTTTTTAAATGCTGAAGGAAATGTCACGGATGTCCCTTCTGCCTTGACCCCCCCCCACAACACTGTGTGAAAGATAAGCGGCTTTGAAGATGGATGAGAGCGGAGACGTTTGCCAAAAATTGACGAGGATTGTAGTAAACAGGCGGGACGCTCTGCAACACGCGGACGGCGAGAGTACTTTGGACAGGCTTTATTACTGATTAGCATTTGATGTTCTCTCAGCCTAGCGCATCAGAACATGGCGACGGCCACATTAAATCAACAAGCCGTCCATCTGCAGCATCTGTGCGTGTGTGTGTGCGTGTGTGTGGGTGTCCTCTTACAGGAGTTGGTGCTGTCGTCTTTGGTCCCGTCCATGCTTCCATCCTGGCCCATCTGGAGATAGAAGCCCTGCCTGCAGAACAACCTGGTCACTATGCCCTTCAGCTGTGGTTCTACACGACAGAGACAAACACACAGGGAGAAGAAGAGTGAGAGGAGCCCACCGTCGAATCAGGACGACCCCAATGAATAACGAACCAGCGAATGAAAAGATAGAATGAGGAGTTTTTTTTCCAGCTTCGGAAGACTGATTTATCTGCCAATGCATACCCATAAATCAATTTCCGCACATCTCCTGCGGGGCACATTTGAGATACACTGCAGTTTGGCATTAAAGAACAATGCGACCACATGCGAACGGATGCATCCCGGGGGATTTCCTGTGGAGAGACTAGTCGGGCACATCCAATCCATTACAGGATTCTTGGACTAATCCTTCCTTCGTGGTCATTGTTCCACTTGAATAACGGTGATGAATTATTCCCGAAACCTCTGATGGCGCACAGCAACTTCATGCCGGCTTTGTATTTCCCATATTCAGTTTACTGTTTGTCCGTCGAGTGATACATTGGTTGGTGGGTATGATTCCCTTTATTAAAACGTGGTTTCTCTGCACCTGAAGCACCAGATCTGTAATATAAATAAGAAAACCACTGATTCAGCAGAAAGAGAGTAGCAATGGGAAGGAACCAACAAAGAGCGGCCTGGAGGCTGGATGAAGACGTCGAAAGACAAAGGCTCACGATCTGCATAAAGGGGCATAATAGTCGCGCAGATCCAGTCAGGCTTTTGTTCCATTCTACCCTCATTGCTCTCTCACACTCACAACGCTAGTTGTCACCAATTATTTCCTACGGTTCCTCACACACACACACACACACACACACACACACTTAGTGTGTGACCACACTCCTTTCTCCCTCCGTGAAAACACCATGCAAAGGTGAAGTGGGGCGGGAATCCCCTTTGAAAATGTGCGTGTTCAGAATGAACGAGTAAAGGTACAACCTAATGCACGGAGACAGAAAAGAGGCAACGACTGACCCAGTTTATGGGGAGAGAGTATGTGAGACAGAGCGAGAGAGGGGGAGACTGGGGTGTTTTCCATCTTCGTGGAGGATCCATCTTGTGCAGCGGGGGAGAGGTGGGGAAGAAGGGCCTGTGAAGCTTGCAGCCGCCACTCAAACAGACAAAACTCGCAGGCAGCGCTCTCCCCGCTGCCTGAGGTGTGCTGCAGCCAGCGAGTCTCCTCAGCCAGACCACACACACAGCCAGTGGACCTGATGCCCCCACCGGGAGGAGGAGGGTGCACCGTTTGATCGATTGATTGCATTATTGCCTCCATGCTCCTATTGTTTGGATTTAATGTATTTCTTTGGTATATTCCATATATTATTCTATATTTGAGTTTTCATTAAGCACTTAGTGAATATTGAGATTGGTATTGATGATGAAAAGGTTTTTTTTATCCTTTGCTTGTCACAAGGAACGGTCTGTACCTTCATGCGTTTGGGTTAACGTCAACCCGCCTGACAGCTGTGATATTTCTCGCTGCTTAATGGTTCACAGTTTACCTGCCCAGCGCCCGTCTGTCACAGAACACAAATCAGCACACAAAGCGGGCCGACTGAAGTCAATCACGTATCAGTCACAGTGTGCCGATTTGTCCAGCGAACGACCAAAAGCACTGCTAAAATGCAATTTATTGGCTATTATCTTTTTAAGCCTGCGATGTTTGACACATCTTAAGTTGTGTTCATTTGAAGGAGAGTGTCCTTTTCTGTCTAGCTTTGCATTTACATATGTGTCTTTGTGTTGCCTTATGACCCTGTGTGATTTATTACAGGTGCATTCAAGTGTAATAACAAAATTCCGTCCCTCTCTGCCAATGTATGTTTCCCGCAGTAAGATACCGCTGTAAGTTGATAGGATTTAGGCCTGGACAATCATCCAAAAATGTAATAGCATTCATTAACTGTTTAGTAAATACTCTGAAATCTGTAGAATTGAAAACAACAACAACTAACCACAGGCTGAACCAATCAACTCACAGTCTAATCCAGAACCTGTAATACTGTATTGATTAAGCAAACATTAGAATAGAAGCAACGTGTGAAAGGATCTATTAATCATAAGTGATATGACTTATCTCGGGTATAGATTTTCAATCACATAGTTCAGGCCTATTGTGAGTCGAATTACAGACTCAAATGGTCTTATTGTTGGTTTTGGCACAACTCCCGGCTGTAACGGATGAAAGATCAATAATTCTCCACAGGGGACCTCCCTGCTGCCTCCACTCTGCATCAACTCCTCTTCTGTTTACGTGTCTCTCCGTGCACCCAGCGGCCAGTTATCCCGTCGCTCACCTCCGACCTGACGTGCCCAGCCCGTTGCCACAGTGACAGGTCGTCAAGGTGATATTCCCACTTTTCCCGGTGTCTCCACATTGTGTCTGTTACTAGGGAAATTCCCATTGTCGCGTTGCCTTGGCAACTGCCTTGTGATTCCAGACTGTTCCGGTGGAAGGGTATTCCCCAATCCACACACACACACACACACACACGCAGCTACATTTTCATCATAATGTCCCGGCTGATCTCTTATTGTCTGTTAATTTGCTTAGTAGATATAGTGTTTAAAATACCAACATGGGCACAAGCTATGCATCAAAGACCTTCTCTCTCTCTCTCTCTTTTCAACACCATCTCACCGAGCAACGGCCCCCCGAAGTATAGAAATCCCGAGCAGCAAGTGAAAGCAGCCATTTCGTCCAACCGATTCTCCCCACCTGCTTATTGCTATGCGTGATGCAAACTGAGGTGACAGTGTATGCTATGAAGTCAAAGTTCCAGGTGCCTGGAAGAACCCAAAGCATTTTTGAGCTGTTAATCGATGATGAAATTAATGACTTTACTTCATTACGTCCCCGAAGACGCACATACACCTCCTCCCTTTAACTGAGTTCTTCTCTTGTTTGCTGCGAGCGCCACAGAACCGTTTGCATTGAGTAAACAACATTCCAGCGGACGGCTGGGATGCTCCGCTCCGTTTTGTGGTTCGCGGTTTACCTGGACACGTATCGATCTCTCTACTGCGGATGTAATTTATTGTCTGTTATCTTTCTTCCAGAACTTGTCATGTCATTTATATTTCAGTGTTCATGGTGAATACCGAGTAAAAAGATGCTGCTGAATTGGACCGGGAGGCGGAGAGCGTGCCTTCCAGCCCAGCTTTGCATCCATCCATCTGTTGGCTCATAACCCGTCTGATAGGGATATATTACAGGAGCCTTTCGTGGCGGCATGTAATTCTAAAAAAAAAAATACTCCTGGCTGGTCGACGGATATTCATAAGGCCGCCTGATATTGAAGCTACCGAAAGCGAATATTTTGTGGCAGTGGATTATCTTTTAATTTGGCGGGGAACTCGTGTTCATCCTGTCACAATCAAATCCTCCACTGAGAGTCGGGCCGATGAAGCAGCTTTAGGTGCGGTGCCATCTCTTAAAGACTGATTTAAATACGGTCCTCCCACACCAGTGCCGTGAACCGTCCCCTCAATGGTAACACAGCGAGACAAGCCATGGACGAGCAGGAGCCTCCATCGTGTCAGGAATGGACTGATATCACATTTGAATAAAAAGACAGTTTTAAGCCCCGAGTCGGTCCAGCTGTGACCAATACAGCACGCAGGTTGGAGCGGTTTTCAATGACACATTTGTGATCAAGTTGTGATGTCAAAATAAAAATGTTGTCTCTCCTTCACAAAACCTCTGGAAGACAGTCGGGGATGTTGGCATTTCTTTCTCGCTCTCTCACACACACACACACACACACACACACACACACACACTCACACACACACACACACACACACACACACATTGTGGATATTGCCAAGCTTTTACCAGCAGTTCTCACAGAGGGGGAACACAGAGGAGGGAGTGATGGGAAAAGAGGGAGGGAAAAAAATACAATGAGGCTGGAAGGTAGGATGAAAGGATGAGAGGTATGTAGGGCTTAATTGTGTGGAGAATGGTGGAGAGGAGTATGAGACAAGAAGGAGAAAAGGGTGAAAAGCGTGGGGGGGGGGGCAGAGGGACGGAAGCAAAGAAATTTAAAGAGTCAGAAGGAGAGGATTGAGGAAAAAACAGGAAATGAAGCTGGAGGAGGGGATGAAAGTATCTGGGGTAGGGAGGGAAAGGTGACATAAAGGAAATAAGGAGAAGAGGGTGGATCAGAGGAATGAGGAGAAACATGGGAAAAATAAGACATGAATGAAAAAGGTAAGAGGAGAAATGAGGAGATGAGGCTGTAGATCTACGTAGGGAGGGAAGATACAATAAGTAGGGTCAAAAGAAGGTTAAGGGGGCAGAAGCAGACGAAGAAGAAACAACGTTTGACAAAAGGGTAAAAATGTGGACTTAAGGGAGTGAGGAGAGGAAGCTGTTGGTCATTTACTCTTGTAGGGAACAAGGAAGGAGAAGAAGCAAGGAGGGATGAGAACATCTAAGGGAAAGAGAAGGGAGGGAAAAAGGAATGAGGTTGTTGTCGAAGAGAAAAAGGACAATAAGGAAACGTGGAGAGGGAAAGACGAGGAGAAGAATTCAGAGTAACTGAAGCGAGAAGAGGTGACAGAAAGAAAAATGGAGGGAAGAAAAGGAGGAGGTGAGGACCTTTGATTTGTCTCTCCCCCATCACTAATCGGACCAAACTGGTGGAAACCAATCCCCACCAACGTGACTCCTCACATTCGCCTCTGCTCCGTCTCCTCACCTCGTCTCCTTCTCTCCCCCCTTCATCCTGCCCTCCACACTCCGGCACCTGCTGCTTTCTCACACAATCAATTGATTACAGCGGCACTTATCGCCTCTGCTATTGAACGCTCCTCTCACTAATCTGCATTCACCGCCACACATGATCAAATCTGTGCACTGACGGCAAGAAGGTCCGTCCCAACTTTGAGTCCGAAGGGTGGACAATTTGGACTTTTTAACCCCCGAGTGAGGAAAAAACGTGTTTCCGTTTTTCAATCAAATGGAAAAATCTGAGCATTCAGAGATTTCAGAATAAGGGCGAGGTGCCAGTTGAGTCCGACATGCTGCTTCTGT